TTCAATATTCTCCTCCAACACCATAACTCAAAAGCATCAATTCTTCTACCATCTTCCTTATTCACTGTCCAGCTTTCACATGCATATGAAGTTATTGAAAATACCATGGCTTGTGTCAGGCACACCTTAGTCCTCAAGCTGACATCTTTGTTCTTCAACACTTTAAAAAGGTCTTGTGCAGCAGATTTGCCTAATGCAATATGTCATCTAATTTCTTGACTGCTGCTTCCGTGAGTGTTGATGGTTGATCCAAGAAGAATGAAGTCCTTGACAACTTCAATCTTTTCTCTGTGGATAAGAATGTTGTTTATTGGTTCAATGGTGACGATTTTTGTTTTCTTTATATTGAGATGCAATGCATACAGAAGGCTGTGCTCTTTGATCTTCTCCAGTAATGTTCTAAGTCCTCTTCACTTTCAGCAAGCAAGGTTATATTGTCTGCATATCGCAGGTTGTTAATGAGTCTTCTTCCAATCCTGATGCCATGTTTTTCTTCATATAAACCAGCTTCTCAGATTACTTGCTCAGCAAACAGGTTGAATAAGTATGGTGAAAGGATACAACCCTGTAGTACACCTTTCTTAACTTTAAACCACTGAGAGTTTCCATGTTCTGTTTGAACAACTGCCTCTTGGTCTATGTACAGATTCCTCATGAGCACAATTAAGTGATGTTGTTGTTGTTATGTGCCATGGAGTCAGTTTTGACTCATAGCGTGATGGCTCGTTTTAAATCTAGCTGGAGGGCAAAACTAACCAATTCTAGATTTATAGTTCTATATACCTTATTTTCATGGGTCCTATCATGTGGCGCTGTGTTAATGTGCCAGACTGCCAAGCCATGTGAACTGCAAGGTCAGTGGTTTAAGCTCACCAGCTGCTCCTTGGAAACCCTATACAGGGTTGCTATGGGTCAGAATCAACTTGACGGCACTTAACAACAACAACCATATCACTAAGGAGTCTTGGTGTGGTGCTGTGGGTTAATACGCCAGACTGCAAAGCCATTTGAACTGCAGGTCAGTGGTTCAAGCTCACCAGCAGCTCCTCGGAAACCGTATGCAGGGTCGCTATGGATCAGAACTGACTCAATGGCACTTAACAACAACAACAACCATATCACTAAGAAGTTCTGGTAGTGTAGTAGTTAAGAGTCAGGCTGCTAACCTCAATGTTAGTAGTTCAAAACTACCAGCTGTTCTGTGGGAGAAAGATGAGGTTTTCTGCTCCCATAAAGACTTACAGCCTCGGAAACCCTATACAAGGTCGCTATGAGTCGGAACCAACTCCAGCGTCCATAACCACCACCACCATATCACTGGAGTCCTGGTTTGGTGCTGTGGGCTAATGTGCTGGACTGCAATGTCAGTTTGAATCACAAGGTCAGTGGTTCAAGCTCACCAGTTACTCCATGAAAATGCTAAACAAGGTTGTTATGGGTCAGAACCAACTTGACGGCACTTCACAACAACAAACCATATCACTTGGTGGGACTTAAGAAGACTTTGGATAGACAAGCCATATTAAGTAAATTCACCACACAAAAAAAAAAAAAAAAGTTTACATGTAGAAGAAAATTTAAAAATGTATAATTTAATTATAAAAAGTATATATGAAAAAATAAGCAAGTACAACTAAAAGACATTTTGTAAGAATCCAGTAGATCCTTAAGTAAAATGAACCTACTGAAATTTCTCTAGGTGAAGTCTCAGAACATGGGAGTAGTTATTAAGAGCCACCCTATCCCAACGGCAGACCCATGAGAAGGTGACAATAGATCTAAACATGTTATCCAGCAGTGTGTCTTCCTTACCCTAAGAAAGGATGAGCAAATTGTAAGGCAACTTTGGAAACATTTCTTAAGCACTGGCCTGCAAGGTCAGTTTGAACTGCAATGTTAGCATTTCAAACCCACCAACCACTCCTTGGAAACTTTATACAGGGTCACTAAGAGTCAGAATCAATTCAACAGCACATAACAACATCTAAAAATGAAGGTTTTAACTTGGAAAATGTAGATGTGTTCGATCCAAAAAGTACATCAATTAAAGAACGAATAGTGGGGTCATCAAAAGGAGAAGTAACTGTAAATTTGAAGTCTACCTTTTCCATACCCCTAAGAATTGCAGATTGTCTTGCTGAACCCAGACTGAATGGTTACACTTAGGGAAATGCTTGGGAAAGAGGATGAAAGAGAAAAGATTAGATATGCCAGAATATGAATATACCACATTGTGTTGATGCATTCATCAGTTGAGTGGAGATTCACAATGAGAGCAAGGTGAAAGAAAGACTGGTGAACTAAGTTAACAACTGGAATATGGCCAGAAGCAGAGCCCTTTTATCCTTTCCCCTCTTAGGTTGTAATTCTTTTTTGATACGATCCCCAACTTTTCTATGCAATAATTTGCGTACCCAAAATGAAATTGTAATGTTGGGAAGGTTGAAGAGACAAACATAGTAAAAAGGAGAGTCCAACTATTGACACCTGCATCCGCATGCCTCTGGAGAGGGAGCAGCTTACTTTCAAGGAGACAAACGCAGAGCGGACATTAGAATTGCTTGTAAAGAAATTGATACCTTCTCTGGACCAAGTAAATCAGGTTATTAGAGGATTCAGCTGAACTTTTTAGTACTTTTTTTTGTTGTTGTTCTCCAGGTGATCCTACTATAGAGGTCAGAAGAAGATGATCTCAGGAGAAAAAAAAAATGGAGGAGAAAAATTGAGTTATAAAGTACAAAATGAATAATTTTAGTGTCTGTACATCATGCTCTACCCATGGTAATTGAAAATTGAGCTAAGGGATTAGATACCACTTAAGCATCTTTCTTAGCCAGAGGTCAAATACAGGGTATGATCATTATTCTCTCCAAGTTCATCAACACAACCAAAAAGTGTAAGCAGTCTAAATATCTATCAATGGATGAATGGATAAATAAAATCCAGTATTTCAATACAACATGATATTATTCAGCAAGATGCAAGGATGAACTATTTATACATGCTGCAACATGAATCAAACTTGAGAACATCATGCCAGATGAAAGAAACCAGACACAAAACACATACAAAAGAGTTTCAAAAAGTAGACAGATTCCATTATTCATTACAGTTTTCCACAAACTTTGGGAAACCCCCTTGTATGATTTCTTTTACATGAAATGTCCACAATAAGCAAGTTCATAGAGATAGAAAGTAGATGAGTCATTTGCAGTGCTTGGGGGGAGGAATGCTAATGGGTACAGAGTTTCTTTTGGGAGTTGAAGAAAATTATCTAAAATTAGATAATTGTGATGTTTGCACCATTCTGTGTACATACTAAAATCTCTGAATTATATATTTGAAAAGGGTCTGTTAGGAACACAGGGCTAGTGAGGACTGGTTAAACGCTGGTCTGTTGGGTTTTGTAGTTCTGGAGCAAAGCCCACCTGAATCTAGGCACCAAAGTGGCACACCAAAGCTGTGCAGAAGACCCACCTCCAACCTCACACTGGCATGGTGCCCAACCACACAACTCCAAACTCCTCAGGTGAGTAGGATCTATGCTGGAGGTGGATGAGGGTGGGAGCTGGACACACTCTGGTAACCAAGGAAGAATAGGGAAAAAGAAGAAACCATACCTTTTCCAATGCCTCTGTGAGTCTGCTCTGCCAGGACTCCCTCTGATACCAAAGTTAGTCACAAGATGGTCAAGCCATGTCTGGTCAGCCATTCACCAGTCTGTCTCCGTCTCTCACCACCCCTGCTAGGCATTGCCTCCCAAAAAGCACTTTATCCACTTCTAAACTTTCTTCTGAAGTTCAGGGTGCCAGAATTTTCAACTGTGTCTGTTTTATTTTGAAAACTCATATCTTTGTTGTAGAGGGTCTGTGTAGCGCATCTGCCTAGTCCACCATCTTTCCAGAAGTCTGCATAAGGTTTTCAATGGCCAATTTTTTCAGAAGTAGACCACTGCTGTTTTCTAATCTGTCTTCGTCTGAAAGCTTCACTGAAACCTATCTACCATGGGAAATGCTGTTGGCACTAAAAATACTGATGGCATAGTTGTCAGTATCATAGCAACCTGCAAGCCATCACAGTATGACAGACTGACAGAGGAGTGGTAGAATACTACTCAGCCATAAGAAGGAATATACTACTACTGATAAGCACAAAGTACAGATGAATCTCAAAAATATTTTGCCGAGCAAAGAAGCCTAACAATAACAACAATAGAACGTACGGTGTGATTCCATTGATTGGAAATGGAATTTCCTATGAAAGACAAATAGAACCTGTAGTGACAGAAAACAGTTCAGTGGTTGCCTGGGACTGGAGGTGGGTCTTGAAGAGTGGCTGGGACTAACACCATGGATACTTTTGAGATAGTGTAAATCTTCTATTTCTTCACTATAATGGTGATGTGGCTATATACACAGTTGTCAAAACTCAAGATGTATACTTTACATGGGTACATTTGATTCTATGTATATGACATCTCAATAAAGCTGAATTTAAAAATATTGAGCTATTGTTTACATTTCTGTAATGTCTATGGTATCTGACCAGGCTTTTTAAATTTGTAAGTTACAGCTTTTTTTTTTTTTTTATTCAATATTAATATTGACTTTACTAATGAATCACATGAACCCCAACCTCCATGACCCTGATACCAGGAGAACTAGATGGTACCTGGCTACCACGATTGACTGCTCTACGAAGAATCATGATAGGAGGTCCTGGATAAAGAGAGAAAAATGTGGAACAAAAGTCAAAATCATACTAAAGACCAGGCTTATTGGTATGAGAGAGACTGGCCAAACACCTGAGATTTTAGTCCATATTCACCCTCAGGTCTAGACCTGAACTCATTATTGTGGCTCAACTTTCAAACAAAGGATAGGCAGGCTTATACATTGAACATAACACAAGGGAGGCACACATTCCTTAGAATGATCAATCATATGAGATGGAGAAGGCAGCATTTGTCCAAAGACAGAGTTCCAAAGGCAAGAAAGGTGAGGAAAGTAGGACAAATGGAAATGGTCACCACAAGAAGGAAGTGGGAAGAGTGCTATTACATTGTGGCAAATGCAATCAATGTCACAAAACAAAGTGTGTATGAACTGTTGAATGGAAAATCAATTTGCTCTGTAAAATCACCCAAACTATGATAAAAAGTTTTAATAAATGAATATTGATTTTCATACACATTTGTATTCATGATTTTTTTCTTCTTCTTCTTCATAAAAATGGTCTGCAAATTTTATTGGCTTTGGACCTCATGAATTCTGGATCTACTCCTAAGGAGATCACATCTAAAGACTTGACATAGTGGTGGACACGTAGCAAATGCTCAATAAATGGAGCTAATATTCTTTTGAAAACTGAGTCTATCATTCTTGCTTTTCTCAGTCTCTTGTCTTCTTTCTTTGGCATTTCATAACCAAATTCTTCCTTGGGTCAGGGAACATTGTGTTTCTTGCTCCTCTCTCAGCATATCATCCTTTCTGTTTACTCTGCACGTCAGTTCTCCTAGTCATCTTCCAGCTTTTTCTTCATGTTCATCCTCACTCTATAAACAGCCTCAAGTCTCTACAATTCCACAACCCTTCCCTGACCTGACCGACAGCACACACACTGGCTAGTACCTACTCTCTTTTCTTATCTGAAATTCTTGAGTCATCTATATCCAGTAGGTCTATTTCCTCAACTCTCATTTAACTTTCTACCCATTCCTTTTTTTACATCGGCCCTAATACTTTTTTTGAAATGGCCCCACCAACACACACAGCGACATACATACTCAACAAGTTCAATGAACACATTTTAATCCTTATTGGACTAAATTTGTCTATCCCAAGTGACATTGTTATTCACTTTTGTTCTTGAAATACTGTTTCTCTCACTTCAGATACCACACACTCATGGTTCTTCCTGTACCATTATGGTTTCTCTTTTTGGTATTCATCTCGGTGCTCCTCTTTGCTGTTGTTAAGGGCTGTAGAGTTGGTTCCAACTCAAAGTGACCCTGCAAAGGGTTTCTGAGGAGCAGCTGGTGAGTTTGAACCTCTGACCTTGTGGTTCAAACTGACCTTGCTGTCCAGTGCACACACCAGGACTCCTCCTTGTTGTTGTTGTTGTTAAGTGCTGTTGAGTCAATTCCGAGTCCTTAATACCCTTTAAATTAGTTGTTACCCAGATTTCTGTTTTCAGCCTTTTAATTTCCTTAAGAACCCATGGGCTGTTAATCTTTTTTGGACCAGAAAATTTTTGGTAAATTGAAGAAGACATGTTCCCACTCTGAATAAAATTGCACATATACATATGTACATAATTTTACATTCTAATGTCAAGTTTATACTTGGGGTTCATTCATATGTTAACTCATAAGCTTCAAGTTTACAATCCTTGATCCACATCCGCATTCTTCTTGGATGAATTTTATCCTTTCTCATGGCCATTGTTGTTAAGTGCCAGTGCCAAGTCCTGACTCATAACGACCACATATAAGGGTTCTGAGGGGTCAGAGGGTTTCTGAGGCTTCGAATCTTTGTAGGAGCAGAAAGCCTCAATGATCTCCCATGGAACAGATGGCAGGCTTGAACCACTGACCTTGTGGGTCATTGCCCAGTGCTTATCCTACGGGGTCACCATGCTGTTGTTGCTGTTTTTAAGTAACACAGAGTTGATTCTGACTCATAGCGACCAGGTTTCTGGGGAGTGGCTGATAGATTTCAACCTCTGGCCTTGTGGTTAGCAGTCTAGTGATTACCTGACAATGCCACACTAGGACTCCATGGTTGTTACAACCATTTCTTTGCTGATGATCCCATATTTGCAACTGGCCTAGTTCTCTCCTAGTTCAGACTAGTACACAGAACAGTCTACCTCCATCCAGTTGTCCAGTGGGCATTTCCACTCTGAAACTTGGTTGTCATTATTTCCTCCTCTCCCTCACCCTTGTGCATTTCCATATGTAGTCAATTATACATATACCCTGATGTGGTGCTGTGGGCTAATGTGCTGGACTGCAAAGCCTGTTTGCTCTGCAAGGCCGCCAGTTCAAGCTCATCACCTGCTCCTAGGAAACCCTATACAGGGTCACTGTGGATTGGAACTGACTCAATAGCACGTAACAGCAACACATATATAAACCAACTACAATCAAGACCAAACACCAATTCTATTTTTTATATTCTTGAATTTGTCCTCTAAGCCTATAGTCCATATGTTGGACTATATATAAAAGGTAAACACCCTTTACCTCTCACATATAGACCACTATTAGAACCTTTTTAACTGTTCTTCCTTTTCGTGGGCCACTGTAAACATTGCTGACCTACCCAGAAGATCTGTTTTTAAAAAGAAATCTGATTCATCATTCATTGTTAAAAAACAAACAAAAAACTTTTCAGCAGTTCTCAATTTTCTACCAGATAAAGTTCAAGCTCCTTGATGTTGTTGTTATTAAGACCCATAATGACCCTCCTGGACTTCCAAGGAGAGGCTGGTGGATTTCAATTGCCAACCTTGTTGCTTAGGAGTCCAGTGCTTATCCTATAATGCCGCATACCAGAACTCCAAATTCCTTGATATGATATGCAAAATACCTTGGATCTGGCCTTTTCCACTTTTACAGCTTCATTTACTACAACATCACATTATTTGGTTTGCCCACAACCACTCTAAATGTCTCGTTTTCCTGTGCCATTTTCTCTTCTGGAACCATGTACTCTTGTCCTGGCTCGATGTTCAGTCTCCAAACCATCTTTTAAAATTCAGCTGAGGCACCACACCTCCTGGGAAGCCCTCCTTTAATCCCACTAGGTGAGTGAGTCTTCTCTCTCTGCCTACACTGCAACCCTCTCACATGTCATCTTTGCATTCTCAATGGGAAGTTACTATGACCTGTTCACGTGCACATGCCTCCCACTGAAGTGTGAGTTTCTTGAGGGCCAAGATCATTTGTTTATTTTTGTATCCCCAGATACTGGATCACAGTTCTTGTTGTTGAGTGCCATTGAATAGGTTCAGATTCATAGGCCCTGTATAGGGTTTCCTACGAGAGGCTGGTGAGTTTGAACTGCTGATCTTGTGGTTAACAGTCCAGTGTTTATCCTACAGAGCCACACCAAGACCCCCTAGTTTAGAGAGGGTATGAATATACATTTATTGCATATTTTTGCAATGCTTCTGAGATTAATGTGCACTTCATCACAAAAATATTTGTGAAATTAGGAAAAAATAGACTCTAATGTCTTGAAGTTTTTCAGGAGAAAGAGGATGTTTGGCTTGCAGGTGGTTGGATGGGAGGCCTGGGCCCAGCAGCGAAAGCCTCAAAGGCCAAGCACATGGTAGTGTATTGGGATGGTAAAGCTGCAGGGTGACAGGAAGGGCCAGGTGGGAAAGGTGAATAAGAGGAAGAAGGTAGATTTGAAGTCAGACCCCCCCCCAAAACCAGACCTATTGCTAAAGAATGACTTAGTGACACTAGAGGACAGAGCAGAACTACCCCTTGGGATTTCTGAGGTTATAAATCTTTACAGAAGAGTCCTGGTATAGCTCTATAGGATAAGCACTGGACCGCAAAGTGAGTTTAGACCACAAGATCAGCAGTTCAAACCTACCAACTGCTCCCTGGAAACCCTATACAGAGTCACTATGAGTTTGGACCAACTCAATGGCACATAACAACAACAAATCTTTACAGAAGCAGACATTTCTTTCTCCCCCGCTAAACATGTGGTTGTCAGATTCAAAATGGCCAATACCAGTCCATTTCAGCTCACTAATGCCTAAGATATCGATGTTTATGTGTTCCATTTCATTTTTGACAACTTCCAATTTTCCCAGATTCATACTTTGTACATTCCATGTTCCAGTTTTCAATGGATGTTTACAGCTGTTTCTCTTCATTTTAAGTTGTTGCCCATCAGCAAATGCAGGTTCTGTGTGCTTTTCTCCCCTGAGCTTAACTGTATTCATGTCATTATGGTCAACCCTACTTTGAGGAGGCATTTTTTTCCCCAGTCGCATACTGAGTGCCTTCCCACCTTCCAGTCGTGTATCTGACAATGTTTCTCTGCTATTCATAGAGTTTTCAGTGACTAGCGATTCGGAAGTAGTTTGTTACTCTTTCTTCCTAGTCTGTCTTTGTTTTGTAGCTCATCTGAAACCTGTCCACCATGGGTGACCCTGCTGGTTATTTAAAACACCGGTGGCATAGCCCTCAGAATCACAGCAACTCTAACCAACACAGCACGACAGACAGACAAGTGGTGGACGTTTGGTTTTATGTCTATACTGTCTCTTTAAATTTCGATGTCAATCTTGATACAATCCTGATATAATCAAGATACAGTCAAGATGTTCTCTCCTAATCCTATCAATCCTGGTACAATCAAGATAAGCTCTCCCAAGATGGCGGCTCCTGGAACAGCTGAGTGTCTTGATCCAGAAATAATGAATTTCTGGATTCTCTTGCAAATTCCCCAGCTATAAACCCTCCGAACCTCCAAACATACCTTTATATTTGTTACAGAGTTCCAACACCAACTCATGAGTCCTCTTGACCCGTTATTCCGTGTTGTTGTTGACCGAGCTCCTAATTACACGTCTACCCGATCCGCCATCTTCAAGGTGGAAGGCCTGGTAGTGTAGTGGTTAAAAATCTGGCTGCGAACCCTGTGGTCAGCAGCTCAAATCTTCCAGGCCCTCCACGTGAGAGAGATGAAGC